GTCGTTCCTCACGATGATGCTACATCTAGGATTTTGTCGTACAATCGCCTCCAGTTTCTACCTTTACCCGATAAAAACTTCGTCTTGGTACTTTTCCCCACAGGGACTAACCTCGATCAAATCGGGTTCCTTTTGCTTTCTACCAGAGATTCTTCCGGTGGTTTTCGAGTCATGGGTTCCGACGAAGGTGACGTCTTTTTGTCGAAAGAGCGATTCTTTTCCCGTATTTTGAAGTTATTAGTGCAACCGATTCATAATTTAGGAGCATATAAGTGTTCTTCTTCGATTGAATTTGGATACGTTATGGCTTATTCTCTGTATTCGATTCATTGGTACTGTGTCAAATACGATGAATCACAAGCCAGACCGGTTTTGTGTTACCTCGGAGCTAAGCAGTTTAAGGGTTGTTCGATTGTGAGTGCTTCTTGGAGCCCTCATCTTCCTGGAGAGTGTTTGGTCTTGTTAGAGAATGGTGAGATCTTTTTGTTTGATATGAATCAGAGACATTGTAGTAGATTCAGAGGTTGTAAGGTGAAAGTTTCTTGGGATGGTCAAGGGAATTCAGTGAATAAGACTTGGTTAGGATGTGAATTTGGTTGGCGAATCGGGGTTTTCGTCGTTGCTCGGTCTGATGGGGTGTTTGTTATTACTGGAAGCTCTGGAAAGTGCAGTGTAAGATCTTTATTGGAAGTTGAGAGTTTGAATATGGCTGGAAGAGAAGAGTTTGTTGGGTTTGTAAAGGCAGGTAGTGATGGTTTTCGGTTTATTCTTGCTTCGCCGAGCTATCTATTTCTTTGTGATCAGAGATCAGGAGTGCCTTTGTTGAAATGGCAGCATCATGTTGAGAAGCCATGCTTTATGGATGTGTATAGCTTGTCTGATCTCGGGGTTAGGACCGAAGAATCAACTATTTCCTGCGTTATAGTAGGGTCCTTTTGGAATGCGCAATCTCAAATGTTCTGTTATGGACCTTCTCCTTATGTTGTGAAGGATCCTTCTTCCTTGTATGTATGGGAGCTTCCACACAAACTACTCTTACCAGCCGGAAAATGTCGGTGTGGAGATTGTGTAAATAGAGAGGTGAAGATGAAGGAGTATCTTCCTGAGTGGATCGATTGGCAGAAAAAAAGATAGTTCTTGTTCTCGGTTTTGGCGTTTTAAACAAGTACCTTTGTCCACTTGGTTTATCAGATCAATATTCTGGGTTTACATTGATTCGGTTAACATCCTCAGGGAAGCTAGAAGCAGTAAAGTTCGTTGCTTCTCGTGATCCTTTAAAAAGCTTACAAGTAGTATCTCACATAGATTCGGCCTGCTATTCTGACGACGTGAATTTGTTGTACCTCCCGGATGACGAAGAATACAAATTGCCAAAACGGTTCAAATATCTCGAACTCGGGTATTTTTCTGCTCTCACAAAAGGGATTCTGGCTGAGTTTATAGATTCAAAGATGGTGACAGAACTATCAGGTTCGCAGAAGACTAAATCTTTTAGCTTAATCTGCCACAAGGCGTTATGGAAGAAGTTGAAGATCTGCGGATTCGGTAGAAACAGAACTTCCTCTACAATTACCGCAGTATTCGAAAATATCAGTTCACCGACAAGCATTTACGACATTGCATTTAGAGAAACCTGGTCAAGCTTACCTATAGAGCTTTTGTTGCTTGCATTCTCCAACTACTCTGAGTTTGATGATGTTTTGTTAGAGAAGAAGAAACCGTCTCTCGAGTTCTTAGTTGTTCCGAAATCCCCACAGTTACCGCCTTTCTTCCTAAGGAAACCTTCAAGCCGGAGTAGCAAATGGTCAAAGAAAGAGCAACCAGGTGTTGAGCTCGTTGGTCCTGTTGTTCCACTTCCAGTCCTCCTTACATTACACAAGTTCCGTAACGGTTGTCTGAATTCAGAACAAGAGTACTCACCCGAAGCAGAGCTGTCTAACCGATGCAGTCAAAACTCCAAAGTCACCCGAGATATTACAAACTCAGGTATAGACGAGACAACCATTTCACCTCAAGATGATCCAGACGACATGTGGTTGAACAGCGAAGCAGAAAAAGGCGTTCATTGCTTATAATCCGATCACGAAACCAGCTGATTTCGATCAACACCAGCAAGAACTCACGACGTTTGTTTCCAGAGTACGTAACGATGGTTTTGGAGAAAGAACATGGCTTGAATTGTTCAATGACATGTCTCCGGTTGAGATTTGCTTTGAAAATCGGACTGCGGATTTCGATAAAACTTTGTTTACTTCAAAAACGCTTCTCTCAAGAGTTTCTTTCTCAGTACCATCTCCATAGATGAAGAAGACAAAAAGTGTTTTAATTTTGGTGTTGTTTCTTCACTAACTAATTTTGTATGATTTGAATCATTTATTTTTTTGGTTACATTCCTAAGTTCCCTATTATTATACAGAGGCTGTAGAGGTTATTAAGAAATTTCACAAAGATCAAAGCTCAACAGATACAAGATTAAGGTTTTGAATTGTTGTTTGAATTCCTAATCTTAATTTTGCATTTTGTTTTTCAAAAATATTTCTCATGATATATTGATTAGAGAGTTTAGACGACATTTAACGTCGTCGATGTCATTATAATAATTTAATTTTGCACGAATTTCAAATATTTTTTTAAATTATCTTTATTTTTGTTTCTTACAAGCGGCGCTAATGTCAAGCTAAATCCCCTCTTAGTTTATAGGTTTTTTGAAAATTTGTACTTTATTTTTTTATCATTTGTCAAATCAAACCCTTTCACTAAATCACAACCGTCTAAATTTACATCTTAACCCAATCAAGATCCAACGGCTATCATTATTTCATCATCTCTAAATTTTTCAAGTTATATATATTTCAATTGTCAACAAAAATATTCCTCCACAATAAATGTTCTCACGCATCACTCCAAAAAAAAAACCCCA